CCCCGGGGGTGTCCTGTATCTTGGAAAGGGGAATATGGGCATCGCTTCCTCTGCTGCTGTATCAAGAGACATTGGCAGAAAGTAGTAACCTTATATACTCTACTACTGAGAAAAGATAGTTTCTCCTATCTTTTCTCTCCTTTTATGGAAAAATGCTGCTCATTAATCCTGTTGATTATGAAAGAAGGAAAAGAGTGATTAAATTTTTGCTCTTATCAAGAAACTGCTATAAATTTACCTTCTCTAATTGTCAGTTAAATTGGTTTCATAAAATGGCTCCATCACAAAATAATACCAAAACAGTTCTTTCTGAGTCATCCTTTTGAAATCAACCACAGGGAACTCTAGGGTAGATGGAAATCTGTTTCATCAGAGATAATTTACACAATCCACATTATATTTTTCATTATATATTTTCATGTTTTAAAACATTTTCCTTTTTCTTCCCTGAGCATTCCATTATGCCTACTCACTTGCCTGCTAAAATGGAGGTATTCAAAGGTTATGTAAACATCTACATAAGATCTGTTTTGTTCCTTGCTTAATATTTGTTTTACTTTTTATTCTTTAGGGCAGGAGTTTTGTACTTAATGTTTAGTAGGTAGTAAAGAAAGGCTGTGTGCAATGTAAATAAATAATAAAGGAAAAATGTGTTATGTTGAGGGAACAATTTGGACAAAGATTGATTTCCCAGTTTCCCTTTTTTAGGTGAAACTGACAATTAACATTATAGAAAGTCATTCCTTTGGGAAGACTTGATATGAAAACAATTCTACTTCACTGACCTTTGAAGAACAAATTATTTCAAATTAATGAGACTGTCTAAGAGATATATATTTTATGGCTAATTTTTCATCTTTTTCCAGCCCACAAAGAAAATTAACACTATTTCAGAATACATTTCTTTAAAAAATCTTGTTGAACTTGGGGAGGTCCCTGCTGATGAGAATAACATGCTTAATTTTCAAGGATCAGGCAAGCAGAGCTTCAAAGCCTTATTATTTATCTTAGCTAGATTTTCTCTATCATTTTTTACCAGTCTTGAGTAGAATTAATGCTCCTATTTCATGTTCCTCATGCGAGATCACATTGAGATAGGACTGAATATATGGGATCAGACCAACTAACTTAATTGAATACCAACAAGTGGGACTAGTAGTTGAGGTATGAAAATATACTTTATGTACATGCCCATTTCACCTTCTCAAGTATAAAACTAAAAGAATTGATTTTAAAGAATTCTGTATCTTATTTAGATTGGAAGATAGAATATACAAAGAGTAAGCACAAGAGCACTATCTAGCAACTAGCCGTGGTTGAAGATTCTAAACCATTGTGAAAACATGAATCTTTCTTCAGAACACAAAGATTCCAAACTTCTTTCCAACAGTCACCTCTCAACACGTATTAGACTTGCAACGAAGGGTTCCAGAAGAATTAGCTATCATGGCACATTTTATTCATAGTTTAAGAATGTCTGTTATATATTGATTGATTATATACCATTTTAGATTTAAGAAAAACTGTTTATCTTGGGTTGCCTAAGTGTATATATAACCAATACTACGGAAGTGTTTTCATTAAAAGTTTTAGATTATTAGATATAGAAATAGAAGCTAAGTTTGAGTGTGTTCCTACAATTGAAACTTTAATGTCATTAATAAAATATCTCAAGTCCCTGCACACTAAGGGACTTGAGCAGAGTAAGGATAATTATAATTGGAAGTATATTGTTTTCTTTCGCTATTTTGGCTAAGGGCTGTAGAAAGTATAGAGTGGTAGGGTATGCCAGACCTACTCTTAATTATTTGTCAAAGCTAAAAATTGTTCCTTTTGCTCTAAAGGCAGTAGGACTAAATCTATAGTGCTGTATGAACATTACTTGTAAATTCTTATCTTAGAACCAGATGGCCTCTTGTATTTTTTTCTAGCTTCTAAATTCTACTTTAGTCCCTTCATTTTTAGAGATGAGGAAACAGATTGCTTTGTTCAAAGAAAGCTAGAACTAGAACATAGGCTAATACTTGCTAATCATGCTATGTACTAGTGTCAACCAAATATGACATTCACATGTCGCCTTCAGATTTTTGCCATATCTGTGTACTTGCTCATCCTATTTAATACTATTTAAATTGACTTATTTCTTTAAGTTTTTTAAAAGAAATATTTTGCTACTTTAAATGGAAAACCATCACTTCAAAAAATAGTAACTTTAAATTGGAATTCAAATCAAGACAAAGCAGTATTATTAAAAATTAATTTAAAACTAATTAATTCTTGTTAAATTTTTAATTCTTGCTGTTCTCGGTTGGAAATGTGTCAAAGCGGTGTTTTCATGTTTGATGGCAGAACCTTAATTGTCTAGTAAGAAAAGCACAGTTAAAGCCTCTAATTAAACCTCTGCTCAGCTTTTTTAAGTGGGATGCTTCTTTAAGGGGAAAACTGAGAAAGTATGAATACATGTTCATATATTAAAGTATGATATAATACAGATCAGAAGAACTTATATGGACCCAACATTGTTCTTTGGTTGATTTCAGTTAATTTTTCTTAAAACTCTTAAATTTTTACATAGAAAGTTTTAGTTAGCTTCACTTAAGTTTCTTCTTCTAAATGGAAGATTTGATCAATATGATTTATTTTGCTTAAGTAAAACATTTCTGCACAAAGCTAATGTCCCCTGATTATTGTGATATACCTGTATATTGTTTTCTGTAACCTTTGAACAATTAATGAACTACAATCTGGTCATCAAAAAAAAGCAAATTCATCTGGGCAGAAGAGAGGATTTTTACAATGTGTTTGGAGGAAATGTTTTTCTTAAAACCGTTCTTAAGCGCATTTCTTTCTTTACAATTGTCTAGTAAGCATTTTTTAAATTTACCAACAATAAAAGTTAGTTTTTGTCTCAATTGCTGGTCTAAATATCCATGTCAGTTACAAGGGATAAAGGGGCTTCAAAATGACTAAGCCTTCTCATATTACTTGTTCTTATCGGGCTACAAATATTCTGTGCTGCCTTCTTTCCAAAAGAGCTGTTATATAGTCTGTATTTCACTATACCACAGAAAAAGACAAGTAAGCATATTTCATTCATGAGTTTCCTATGAAACCTGTTGGTGGAAGTATGACCAGGAGACTTTTATGGGTTAGCAAGTAAGAGTTCTGTTGTGAAACCATTGTTAACAGGTCTTAACAGGAAGACCAAGGAGAGAATAGATACAGGATTTACCTAATCCCATTAAACTGCTGATGAAATAGATACGTTATTGTGGGGACTGTTTATTGTAGTGATTTTTCTGGCTTAGCAGAAGTGTTAGTCTTTTGTTTTTCATGCTTTTGTCAAATTTGTATTTTTAATTAACTTTTTAGTTTGAGAAGATTGTAGATTCACATACAGTTGTAAGAAATAATGCAGAAAGGGCTCCTTCCTGTGTACCCTTTACCCTTTACCAATGGTAGTATCTTGCAAAACTATAGTAAAATACCACAACCAGAGTATTGACATTGATAAAGATAGAGAACATTTGTATCACCACAGGGCCCCATCCTATTGCCCTTTTGTAGCCACACCCACTTGCCTCCTACTCCCACCCCCTCCTTACCCCTGGCAACCACTAATCTGCTTCCCAAATCTATAATTTTGTCATTTCAAGAATGTTACATAGCATTTTTATGCAGCATAATTCTCTGGAGATTTATCCATGTTGCTTCATGTGCCAGTAGTTTATTCCTTTTTTATTGCTGAGTACTATTCCACAACATAGATGTACCACAGTTTATCATTTACTTAGTAAAGAATATCTGGGTTGCTTCCAGTTTGGGGCTATTAAGAATAAAGCTGTTGTAAACATTTGTGTACAGGTTTTATGTGGACATATGTCTTTGTTTCTCTAGGATAAATGCCCAGGAGTGCATTATATAATAGACTTAAATATTTTCCTTACATACATTTGGAACCACATTAGACAGTGTTATGATTTTCACTTTGACCTGCAAATATAATGTAGAAGATTCAAGAAAAGGAAAGTTTGTTATATTTAATTGCATCTTACCATGTTCATTCTTTTTTTCTGATGATCTGAAGTTCATTTCTTATCTGCTTAGAGAATTCCGCTAGCCATTCTATTAGAGTAAGCCTGCAGGTGACAGAGTCTCTTAATTTCCCCTCTTCAGAAAATGTCTTGATTGCACTTCTGTTTTTGCTGGGTATAGGATTGTGAGTTGACAGTTTTTTTCTTTCAGCACCTGAACACAATATGCCACTTTCTTCTGGCTTCTTTAGTTTCTGGTGAGAAAGCCACTTTCATTCTAATTGCTTTTCCTTCATAGATACAGTGTAGTTTCCTCTGACTGCTTTCAAGATATTTTATTTGCCTTTAGTTTTCAGAAGTTTAACCTTTTTGTGTGTGTGTTAGAGTGGGTGGGGGAGTACAGGGGAGGAAGGAGGCTTCTCATGGCTTCATGAGGTAGAAGTCTGGGATCCCTAGTAGGCTCTTGGTGGTGGTGGGCTGCAGTAGAGCAGTTATTGTTGAACATTTTTTGTCTTGGTAAGGCAGCCCTTTTTACTCCTTTGGTTAGAGAGAGCAAGCTTTTGTTGGGGCTTTTCTTTTTTTCAGCCAATTGGCATTTCTGGGTTGCTGATTCTTCAACTCCAAATACAGGATATATGAGGCAAACAGAGAGCCCAAAGAACTCACCATTGTGTCATTCCTTGGGCCCCGAGCTGGTCTGCCTTCTCTCTACTTTTCAGAGTCTTACTTTTTATATAAAATGTTCAGGGTTTTTAGTTTGTACATAGTAGAACTAATAGGGGAAAATATGTCTGCTCCATCTTCCTGGAAATGGAAGTCCCCAGATTTATGTTTTTTATATATTTAAGTAGTTGCATCAAATATATATAACCATTATTGGGGGAAATGTCACATACTTTGTATATTATGAGGTGCTTATTTGAACTGGAATTGTTCACATTATTAATGAAAACATTTCCCTTCTAGGAAATAATGCAAAAGGTGTCCCAAGGCTTCTGATCAGTGAACCAAGATTTGAGAAAGACAGCCAAGCTCATGTTTTCTCCTGATCAAGAAAATCATCCATCCAAAGCACCAGTAAAATATGGTGAACTCATTGTCCTAGGGTAAGGTTTCTCTGTCTGATGACATAAAATTTAGTATCTCTGACATATAGGTTAAAAGTACTTTCTTTAGAATTTACATCCTACATATTTCCAAAGAGGATTTAAAGTTACAGGGTATAATCAAACTGAGAAACTCTTAATTCTCATTTTATGCCATCTCTTATAGTTGCTCAAATACTCCATAAACTTTGCCTCACCCTCATCCCCAGAAAGGACAAAAACTGAAAGATGAAGTGACAGATGTATTTGTCTGAAGTCATGTAATCATTCTATTTGTCTTCCCTATCCCATCTTTTAGAAAAATTTTCCTCAGTACATTTTACCAAAACTGCCCTCCACTTCAGGTCATTTTCATGGAGGTTAGTACTTACTGGTTCCTTTGGCCCTCTAAAGTGTTCATTGCTTTGTGCTTGTGGTCCTGTACTTTTTGATAAAAGGTGTTGTTGTATAAGCATAGCAATATGATGACTCTGGAGCCCAGGACCAACTGTTTGCTTCAAAAGTAATCCTATCCATACAGTTCACACAGACACAATCTACAGACCGAGGAATAGATGATTCTGTTATTTCAGTTTATCCAGTCTAAACTCACCATAACTATCAAAACAGAAATAATGTTAGTCTGCTAACTAGAGATCTCAGAAACTAGAAATTTCAAAATTTACTTTCTCCCTGCTATTTCTCTTCTGCCTAAAAAGCAGCTCTTGATATTACAACATGTTTTAGGATCAGGTTGGTACAAATTCTTACTTAAGTGAAAATATGTCTGTTGTTTCAGATGAGAGAGTAAGAGAAACTGGGAAGATAATATGGAGTTAATTGAGCTTGACTGAAAGTCAAGAATCCTATATTCCAATACTTACTCCAGCATTGCTAGCTGTATGACCTTGGGCACGTCACTTAACTGTTCTGGGCATTAGTTTCCTCCTCTGTAAAATGACAATTTGACAAGATAATTTAAAGTCCTTTGAGACTTTGTTCTCAAAAACAGAACTTAAAAGATCATAAATATAGTCACTACAATATTACAACTTAAATCACATAGTTGCTAATATATTAATGACAACCAAGCTTTTAACTACCAAAAAACTCTTCAAAGTTAAATTCTTACACCAAGAATTTGAGTCATTTGAAGACAAGAATTTAAAATTTAGTGTGTGATCTAAACTGCCTGTCTTAGTCCAGCAGCTTTTTAGTTAATCCTAAGCAATAATAGTTGTCTCTGTATCTGGCACTTAAAATGCAACTAGTGCTTCTTCCTAACTCTCTAGAAGGATAAGTAAAACTGGATAAGGTTGTCAGTTTCATGTTGTTACTGCTTAGAAAAGAGCTTTGAGCTACAGGAGCACCATGTGGGAATAGAAAGCATATCTCCAGAAGACGTTCAAGTCATGCCACTTGGTGGACAGTAGTGAGGGACAATGAGGAACCCACAGTGGGTCTGGTGGCAATACATAGCCTAGAAAAGCAAAATTAGTGTATTAGCTAAGGGGAGCTACTCTTAACTTTTATCTAGGACTAGCAAGATTAGCAAGGGCCTTCTCCAGTAAAAAATCAGTGTTTTATTTTTCATAAAGAGTTGGTGTAATTTCTGTGTATGCAGTCTTTGAATAAAGTCCCTTCTTTTCCTAAAATGGGTGTCATTTTACATCATACTCTCTTCCAATCTCAAAACTGTTCCTCTTCCCTGCCTCATTTTCCCCCCCAGAATGACCAGCTATATGCAAGAGACCATTAAAACAAATATTTTGTCAGGGTTCAGGGGACAGTGAATGAAGAGTGACTATATTATTAAACTACTGCTCATGCCATAAGGAAGCAATAGAGATAATGTTGTATAAGCATAGCAATATGATGACTCTGGAGCCCAGGACCAACTGTTTGCTTCAAAAGTAATCCTATCCATACAGTTCACACAGACACAATCTACAGACCGAGGAATAGATGATTCTGTTATTTCAGTTTATCCAGTCTAAACTCACCATAACTATCAAAACAGAAATAATGTTAGTCTGCTAACTAGAGATCTCAGAAACTAGAAATTTCAAAATTTACTTTCTCCCTGCTATTTCTCTTCTGCCTAAAAAGCAGCTCTTGATATTACAACATGTTTTAGGATCAGGTTGGTACAAATTCTTACTTAAGTGAAAATATGTCTGTTGTTTCAGATGAGAGAGTAAGAGAAACTGGGAAGATAATATGGAGTTAATTGAGCTTGACTGAAAGTCAAGAATCCTATATTCCAATACTTACTCCAGCATTGCTAGCTGTATGACCTTGGGCACGTCACTTAACTGTTCTGGGCATTAGTTTCCTCCTCTGTAAAATGACAATTTGACAAGATAATTTAAAGTCCTTTGAGACTTTGTTCTCAAAAACAGAACTTAAAAGATCATAAATATAGTCACTACAATATTACAACTTAAATCACATAGTTGCTAATATATTAATGACAACCAAGCTTTTAACTACCAAAAAACTCTTCAAAGTTAAATTCTTACACCAAGAATTTGAGTCATTTGAAGACAAGAATTTAAAATTTAGTGTGTGATCTAAACTGCCTGTCTTAGTCCAGCAGCTTTTTAGTTAATCCTAAGCAATAATAGTTGTCTCTGTATCTGGCACTTAAAATGCAACTAGTGCTTCTTCCTAACTCTCTAGAAGGATAAGTAAAACTGGATAAGGTTGTCAGTTTCATGTTGTTACTGCTTAGAAAAGAGCTTTGAGCTACAGGAGCACCATGTGGGAATAGAAAGCATATCTCCAGAAGACGTTCAAGTCATGCCACTTGGTGGACAGTAGTGAGGGACAATGAGGAACCCACAGTGGGTCTGGTGGCAATACATAGCCTAGAAAAGCAAAATTAGTGTATTAGCTAAGGGGAGCTACTCTTAACTTTTATCTAGGACTAGCAAGATTAGCAAGGGCCTTCTCCAGTAAAAAATCAGTGTTTTATTTTTCATAAAGAGTTGGTGTAATTTCTGTGTATGCAGTCTTTGAATAAAGTCCCTTCTTTTCCTAAAATGGGTGTCATTTTACATCATACTCTCTTCCAATCTCAAAACTGTTCCTCTTCCCTGCCTCATTTTCCCCCCCAGAATGACCAGCTATATGCAAGAGACCATTAAAACAAATATTTTGTCAGGGTTCAGGGGACAGTGAATGAAGAGTGACTATATTATTAAACTACTGCTCATGCCATAAGGAAGCAATAGAGATATATTAGAAAGCATGACAAACACCTAGATTCCTTCTAGCTTTGCTAGTGTCACTTGTATGACTTTCAGAAAATAAACTTAATTCCTCTGAGAAACAACTTAATCCCCAATTTATAAAAGTGGAGAGTAATTCCACTCTTGCAGATTTTTTTGTGAGATGGATTAAGTGAAGTGATGTGTACGGGATAGAGCCCAATAGTGCTCAGTACATAGTAAACACACAAATGTTATGTTCTGAACTTTTTACCTATTAGTTCAGTCCTTGCTTACTTGCTTATCTTCAGGAAAAATATGTATGTTATGGAGAAATGGTCATAAGGTCTCAACAACAAAAATATGTTTAACTACTGTTAGCAGGCATCTCAGTTGGACAGGTTTTCCAACATGTGAATGTGTATGCACACACATTCAGGTAGCTGAAGCTTAACAAACAAGTCTAAAAATTCCTTATTTCAAAAGTTCAGCCATTTAAGGTGTTTGGTTCATAATTAAAGGAGGTACTGTTTTACACAATTCATAGTGTACTTTTAAAGGTTGTATTTAACACATGTAAACATTTGCCTTTAAAAAAATAGAATGAATCGTAAGAAGTTAGATATGCTGTTAATCAGCTCTCGATTATCTTGAATAAAAGAGGGAAGAAAAATAAAGATAAAATTAAAACTATGTATAATACAAAACCTTCTCTGTGACTTGGAACACAGCCAGAAGGAATCTCATTTTGTTTCACACTCAGGCAGCTGGGGATCAGCAATTGCTGAAAGGAATTTGATATACTTACAATGTGTTAATAGATGATGATTGGGGATTGATCCTATAAGGCAAAGTAAAACACTTGTTTGAAACGGATTGTGTGGTTTGTACAAGAAATCTCCTAAACTTTTTTTTTCCCTTATCAGGTATAATGGGTCTCTCCCAAATGGCGATAGAGGAAGGAGAAAAAGTAGGTTTGCTTTGTTTAAAAGACCTAAGGCAAATGGGGTGAAGCCCAGCACTGTGCATATTGCTTGTACTCCTCAGGCTGCAAAGGTAAAAACAAAACAAAACAAAACCCTAAATGAACCTGGAGAGAAATTGAAAGATTTTTGTACATGTTTTCATATTCCCTTCAAGTTCTATACCAGAAATTTCCTTTTGTTTGAATGGTCAAGGGCCACTGAGTTTTTAAAAATGATAAACCAGGAATAGGGTGGAAATTAAAAGAAAACATTTTAAAAGGTGAGGGTAGAGCTGGGGCTTTATCTAGTATTTAGAGTTATGCAGCTGTCTTCTCTGAGAAGTAGGAAGTTCCTGCTGTTATTAGAGGGGCCCCCCCTGCGCTGGGGAAGGAATGCAGGGTATAGTAAGTGTATTTAGGTACTAGAAGCATATTGGATGAGGTAATTTTTTTAACTAAGGACCTATCAAAGAGCCTATGGATGCTCTTGGTTTTTGTTTGTTTTGTTACATGATCCTTATAGCTTTTCACAGAGTGACTTGAACAAAGTAGATCTCAATAATTATTAAATTGAGTAAAATCTATGCATGCAACTAGCCAAAAATGTAACTGTTCAATCTCCTGATCTATTCAATTCTTTCAGCCCCTTTTTCTTTCCCTACCAAAATCTCCAGAACTTGTGCCACCATTTCAGGACCCTTGGGCTTTTCCTGGAGTGATGATAGACAGTTATGGGCAATTTCAGATCTTTGTATTTCCTATGAATTCCTCTACTTCCAATTTTATAACAAGGACTGGATTTGATACTGTGATGAGTGATTTAAAAAAAGTACAGAGTTCTGTGACTTCTTGAAGTACCTGTATCTTAGTTAAGCAGCCCCAGAATGTTCCTTGATATTATACCATCTGAGGTATCTCTCTCAGTTAAATAAATGAGAGAGATACTGGCATATAATACCTTGTTATAGGTCACTTTTCCAGTCTCTGAAATCAGTTGGATTTTTTACTTTGTTTTATGCCCAACATGGTGTCTAAGACAGAATCCTCCCTCATGCCTCGACTAGGCCTCTCATAATATTATTTGAAAGCCAGTGAATATAGAAAAGTGACAATTTCTATTAGGTGTTTCTTTTTGCCCCTTTGCAGAGAAGGAATATGCTGAGCAGGTGGTGGAAGTGGATGGCTTATTGATCCAGTCTGAGGAGCTTCCTTCCAGTATTTTCCCACATGAGTGCCCTTGGCATTTTGGTTGTGCAAATTCTTTGTGCAGGACTGTCCCACATATTGCAGACATTGAAGATTCTTAGTTCCCACCCACTAAATGCCATTTAAGCCCTCAGATCATGTGACAGCCAAAAATGCACCTATGTGTTTCCAAATGCCCCTTATACAGCTAATACTACCTCTGAATGAGAATCATTAGCATGGGGAAAATATTCTTAATCCCTATATATATATATATCCTCTTCTGTGCTTTTCTTTGCATTTTTGCTGTCCTGCTCCTGATGTTTCATTGCTAGATCCAGTTCATCTTTACTAGGCAACAAAAATCTTCAGGATCTTTCCTCTTTCAGTTTCGGAGGAATATAGTGAGATCATGATCGTACAAGATTGTACAAGAAATTACAAAACTAATTGTTTAGTCTGGCAGTCATCTGGGGTGAGTGGTTAAACTCTGCTTTCCATTCCAGTGAAAATTTAATTTGATGTAGTTCTTATTCTCATTCTAAAAGTGGATTCAATAGTTTTAAAAGAAACAAGTATTACGATCTCAAAAGTACACAAAAACCCATGTTATTTAATCTCTTTGGCTATTAATAATTATCTTTCAAAATACTGAGCAATTATATGATTGAAAAGTAAGTTGTTTAATGCTAAGTTATAGTAATTATAGTTCTTAAAACCTGTAAAACAATTATGTAATATTTATGAATACATAACTGTATAGTAAAACATTAACAACATGCATGAAATTGATCTACCCTGCACACTCAAGGTTGGATGCCTCTGAAGAAAGCAGAGTAGGGAGGGACATGTAAGCAGCCTTGATTATATCTGCAGAGTTTAATTTCTTTATAATAATCAGAGGCAAAAATGGCATTATTAATCTTTTATAAAGCTGGGTAGTTAGTACCCGCTGTTTATTCTCTTTGTGTATTTAAAATTTTCACAATCTTAATTAATCTTAAAGCTATTTTTTTAAGTTTTATCTATTACAGAATAGCTACAAATTGAAACCAAGTAAAATTTTATGCCAAACTTCTAATTAGAAAACATATTTTTTCATTTAGCCTCTTTGTTGTTCTATAATTATTCTTTTGTGTCTTTGTATCTGTTTTCTTTTTAAAAAGCAGCCTGTTTATACTTCCTTTGTGCAGGTTCCCCCATCCTTCCCACTCACCCCACCCCTGCTCTGATATCTTCAACTCATACATAGAAAAATGCCTGAAAGCAAAACTGAAAACGTTCTTTTTAGAAATGTTTTTAATTTGGGATGTCAGAAGTACAATCATAAGCATTCTATCCATTTCCTTTGGTAGTATTTAATTATTCTATGAATTTTTCTGTATTTAGCCCACCATACAACAAATATTTGTCATCCATAGAGTCACAGAATGATTAGGAAAACCATTTAACCCTGCTTATTGGTTAATTTTACAACTCTTTGAGTTACTTTAAAAATAACATTCTTCTTATTTTTAAAGATTTTGTATATTCTCATCAGAACAGTACTAAGTACTGCTTTCAGTTTATACATGAGATTTGGTTTTCATTAGTATATAATTTAAAGTACTTAAAAGGGAGACCTAGATTTTATAGTGTTTTAATACAAAGAAGTTAAGTCCTTACTCTATATATTACTTCAAAGTATTCTCCTACACCCTACTCAACCTGAAAAACTACTGTCACAGCTGAGGTTATACAAGAGTTATTAATCCCTACCCTAAGTTTCACCAAGAAATATATCTTATGTGATAAATAGATTACCTTTCTTTATTTAAATATTATTTGACTAACCTACCGGCTAATTTTTTGCTGTTAATTTTTTCTTTCTTAGGCAATAAGCAACAAGGACCAGCATAGCATATCATATACCTTATCTCGGGCACAGACAGTGGTGGTTGAATACACTCATGACAGCAACACTGATATGTTCCAGGTATATCTGAATTTTTTTTCTTAAACAAAAAAGTTAAAACCTATTGTCAGTGACTTTTGCTATGGTCAGATAAAGGATTATCATATTTTAATAATGTGTGTTTCATTAAATATACATTGATTTCTAACCCCCCCCCCCATACTAGAAGTCAGCATAACATGGTTAAAGATGGACTCTGAAATCAAAATGCTTTGTAAACATCACTTAGCCACTCCATACCTCAGTTTCCTCCAATACAGTACAGATACTGGAACTTATAAGACTGTCAGGAGGTACCTGTAAAGTGTAAGTACATGTAAAGTGCTCAGAGCTTTGCCAGGTAGCTGGTAAACAATTAACTATTAATAATAGAGGTATAATAATAACAGCTCTGTTAGCTATCATTATCCCTAAAAGAAGGAACCAAGAAGTAAGTGTTCTGCATACATTTATGATTTGTTTTTGTCACTGCTTCCCATTTCCTCTTTAGTCAGCAAAAAGTAGAGGCAGTTTTTAACTGTTCTTATAATGTGAAATCAAATTTATTTCTCAGCACATATTTGGGCAGAGCTACTGGTGCAATAATGGTGGGGTTTTTTTCTCCTCATTTTTTGTACCAACTGAGTGCAATATTTTTATAAAACTGATAGATAATAGAAAGCCAAACCCAAAGATGTAAACAAATATCACGATGTCTTCTCCCAGAACATTGGGTTTTGTAAAGCCCTGGGATTTTTTGAAACAAACTTTTATAGGTCATAAAGTACCTGAAAATGTTGCTCTTAAGATTACTTTCCCAGTTACTTTTCAGTTTTTCTTTGTTTTATGAGATAAATGAATGTGAAAAGGATAACTGTAACCAGTAGCAAAATACTTCTTTGAAGTCACCCTCTTCCTTCCAGCCCTGTGTACTACTCCTGACTTCTTTAGATTAGTATCTCTATAGTTAGTATTACAATATGGAGTTTGTTTGTATCTTCTTTGCTTTTACCAAAAAATTGAAAATAAATAACACTTCAATGAGGATGAAGTTTGGATGATTTTCTACATTTTATTTCACTGACAGCCAGTTAAAATGAATGTGCCTAATTAATAGGCTCTTTAAAAATCAAGACGTTACTGAGATATTTGATCACAGACTGGAATTTTAGTTTCAGGAAATACCTTGATATGGTCACTGAAATCTTATTACAGATTACAAAGTTAGGGGCAAAACTGAGATTAAACCAGGCATCCTCAATTATGGAACAGTGTCTTCACACATTTTATGAAGTTGCCTTAAATGTATTGTAACATTTTTCATTTCATCCTTTTTATAAAGGAATAGAGTTTTTTCCCCAGTATAGTAGAGTGATTATACCCTTCCTACAAGCATTAGACCTATGGAAAATCCAAGCATTTCTACATCAAAAAACCTGACATATATCAGAAACTACCCTGATAAATCAGCCAGTCTTGGAAGAACTGGTTTTATAAGCATTCTAGGTTTCCTTACCTTCTAAACCGAACATATTTGTTCAGTCCATCTGACATTCATACTTCATCTCTATGCATTTCTTGACACTCACTGTGAAGTAAATAAAGGAGGCATTACAAGTTGATTACTTACATAGGTGCCATACTGATGGTCTAAATGTGAAGCATAGGCTTCAGATTAGTTGGAAGAAGGATGAAGAAAAGGCTTTATAGTGGTGCCTTTTTATTTGGACCTTTTTTTTATAAAGTTGATTAGGATTTTACCAGTCTAATCAGCAGAAAGACATTCTGATAAAAGAGAAGTAGAAGTGGTAGAAGATTGATGAATACAAGCGACTTCTAGCTAGAATATACTTTTTTTGTGAACTGAAGTAACAGGAAGTCAGGCTGGATTGGTAGATGGGAGGTGAATTTGGATAGGCTGTAAAGAACCATTGAGGTTTTTAATGGAGTGAGAGAGAGTGACGTGATAAGATCTGTATTTTTAAAGCTAATAGCAGTTCGAAAAAGAATTACTAAAGTTTATCTTAACACATGATTATATTTTACATCTACCACAATCATGTAGGTTTTTTCTCTTTATAGATACTGAGATTTCTTCCGTCTTACTTGTCATGACTAGTATTGCCTTGATGTCTTAAATCTTCCCTTCCAAGGCTCAGATCAAATATCAATTCTTCTGAACAATCTCTCTTCCCAAATAAGTGCTGCTTCTGAATATCTTGATTATGAGTATCAATCCTTGGCCTACATCTTTTGGCTCTGAAAGAGCCTTTGACTTTTGGAAATATTTTTAGTTTCAAAGGTCAGAGAACATTTTCTTTGAATGTCATTTTTCTTATAAAAATAAGGAAACAGGAATCTTACATTTCTTAAACAACCAGTTTCCCTCTGAAACTGTCCAAATGAAGACTTTATTCTTGATGATAGGACAAAACTAAAGAGTTTTATCTAAAAGTATGCTTATGTGAGGGATTCAAGATGAAATTAATTAATTACTTGCTAGTACCCCTGACAATGTTTTTAATCCACTGACACCTCACCCACCAGAAGTCTTATCTGGGAATCTGTCTCTCTGGAATATGGCCAAAAACCAGGAGGAAAATAAAAATGACACTAGGCATATAAAATAAATGCCACTTAGGCCATGCTCTTGCTCCCAGGAGAATACCTTAGGCTTTCACCAAGAACTTTTTGAAATACTACTCTTTGAAGTTTGGTTATTTGGTCTCTTAACCCATAGCAGAATAAGAGTAGCTGGTTAGAAGAGGGGAATGCTGTTAGAGACAGGTATGCCAAACAGCAAGAAATGATAGCTGATAACCTGACAGGAAAAAAACCCAAAATCTATTAAATATGCATAAGACCTCAAAGCAAGGCTGTATAAGGCCTTAACATAAGGATCAGCATTCTTGTACAATTCTTCACAGCGCCTGAAGACATCACTGCACTTCAGCTGAATATAAATGGATTTATTCATATTACAATGTCCTATAGTCATAAAGGATTTGCTCTTTTATTTATATAAAAAAAGCTTACTGTATTCTGTTAAAAGACGATGGAGTAATACATGGTAGATATATTTCCATCCAAAGAGGTTAAAATGAAAATCTGCAGCCATCTAGAAATGTCAGCCATCTTAAACTCTTCATTCCCTGAGGGTTTCATATATTCTGGGTCATAAGTTCCCACTTAATTCTATACTCTAGGTGATTATCAGTGTAAGTACGTCTAACAGATTCATTTTCAACTCTAGATACCCCTAGAGTTAGTAGGGCAAGTTTGAGATTAGAAATTTCAAAGGCTTAATGTTTTCACCTTATTGTACCTTTCTTGAATGGATTTTCCTCTCTGTTCTTTTGAACAGGTTTATAGATATTTTTTTTTCCCCCCCTTAGATTGGTCGGTCAACTGAAAGTCCCATTGACTTTGTAGTAACTGACACAGTTCCTGGAAGTCAAAGTAATTCTGATACACAGTCAGTGCAAAGCACTATATCAAGATTTGCCTGTAGAATCATATGTGAACGGAATCCCCCCTTTACAGCACGGATTTATGCTGCAGGATTTGACTCATCAAAAAACATCTTTCTTGGGGTAAAAAATGTTTTCCTAAATGATGCATTATTTTATAACCACTTCTTTTACCAAAGTACAAGTAAACAGAAGCTTTCTATTCTTATCCCTACTAGGAGAACCACTAATGGTGTTCTTGTTATGCATCCACGCAATGGGTTTACAGAAGACTCCAAGCCTGGAATATGGAGAGAAATATCAGTGTGTGGAAATGTATTCAGCCTACGTGAAACCAGATCAGCTCAGCAGAGAGGAAAAATGGTAAGTGCTAAGATGTAGCTTCTTATTTAGTTATAATAAACATAGGCTGAGCTGGACTGGATGCATAGCATAGTCCCAAACACTCTTAAATTTCTTGCTGACACAGAGTAATAAGTCTGACTATCAAATGCTGACTACTTAACACTATGCTAGAGGATATTATCTTTATGTTTCAATTAGGACACTCTAGAAATTTATTCTTTCACATGTTAATATGGTTTGAAACCTAAACTCTCCTAAATTAAGTAGCACCCTGTTTATTTTCTACTTATCTGTATGTATATCTTTGACCATAATATTTATTGGAAATATTAGACTTACTAATTAGCCAGATGTTTTAATCATGAACTGTCTTTTCTAGCTTAAAAGAAATGTTACTGCTTAATATTTTATCCTGATTTTCAAACTTATATTTTTCATGATTGCCAGTGGAGTTCCTTAATTATATAGTAATAACAGTCATAGGAAATTTCAGTTCTTGAATAAGGAGGACCTAAGACAAAATTGTTATGTAAAAATCCAAAACACAAGGGTGAATGTGTGCTTTGATTCGTGTTTCCTCTAGGTGGAAATTGAGACCAATCAGTTACAAGATGGCTCATTGATTGACCTCTGTGGAGCAACATTGCTGTGGCGTACTGCGGAAGGCCTGTCCCGCACTCCCACAGTGAAGCATTTAGAAGCTTTGAGACAGGAAATCAATGCCGCGAGACCTCAGTGCCCTGTAGGGTTCAACACTTTAGCATTTCCAAGTATGAAGAGGAAAGATGTTGTCGATGAAAAACAACCATGGGTCTATCTAAACTGTGGCCACGTTCATGGCTATCATAACTGGGGAAACAAAGAAGAACGTGACGGAAAAGATCGTGAATGTCCTATGTGTAGGTCTGTTGGTCCTTATGTTCCTCTGTGGCTTGGATGTGAAGCTGGATTTTATGTGGACGCTGGCCCTCCAACCCATGCGTTTAGCCCGTGTGGGCATGTGTGTTCAGAAAAGACAACTGCCTACTGGTCCCAGATCCCGCTTCCTCATGGTACTCATACTTTTCATGCAGCGTGTCCCTTTTGTGCACATCAATTGGCTGGTGAACAAGGCTACATCAGACTTATTTTCCAAGGACCTCTAGACTAACAGACAGTTGTACTCCAGGACCACATTATAAATTTATAAGCTAAGTGAGCTGGGTTTTCCAACCTGTTGTCCACGTCACAGTTTCTCTGCTCTGGTCATTTGCATTAAGATGAAGAATTTTTTTAGACATTTATAATAAATAGTACAATTTCTAATCAAAAACCTGGAAAACTCAAACAAAGGAATTTCTGAAAGTACCAGACTTCAGAATTCCGAGTTTTGAAAATATATTTTGAGGAAAAAAAGACATAGTCTAATTTGATGCCTTCATTGTAGTGTCTTTGAATCACCCATCCTCAGTGTTGAAAAATTGTTTTGTATAACTGAGGGGACTGTTGGTTCAAACTATGTTAGTTTACTGTTTGTTGCAAACATTGTAAAATACAGCAACATGTATATTAACTTTTTTTTCTATTTATCTTTATTATAGAAAATATCTTAGAATGTTCTTGGTAGAGTAGCATGGTAAATGATGGTGTCACACTCTTGGTGTGAATGGTAGTTTAGTGAGCATAGCTCAAGGATTTGCAAGGTTAGGAACAAGGACAAGAGAGCCTCTCTCCCATCCCCATCTAAATATGGAATTTGGTAAATTAAAATACTTTGTAAAACCAAATTCATGTCAATTACCATTGTGTAAGAGGTGTTTGTTTTTAACCACATTGAAGATTATCAGGAAAGATTTTTTTTCCTTAATGTTTCTCTTAAGTATAGTACTATCACAAAAACTTAATGCTAAGAAACATTTTATATGCTCCTTTGAATATGCAATTTAATGTAGATTATCTATTTTTCTCCCATGATAACTAATCTGTTTTTAGTATCAGCAACATTTGGCAAGTTTGTTTTTTAGATATATATAAACTGTGGTTCATCTGTTCACTGTTTTCTACAAAAAAATTACTCCCATGAGAAAAAGCATAAATTAACAAGAAAGGAGAGTGACTTGATTTGCTTTAGAAAAAGAAATGCTTAATTAATTAATTATTCTATATTTGGCCTTATCCAGGCATTAAGAATACAGGTGATTAAAGGGATAACTGAAAATAGTGCCCCCCCCAGCCAACCCTTTTTTTAACCTAGTAGATAGGCCTTAACTATGGGCTTGAATCCTAAGGAGAGTTGCCACAGTGCAACCCAAGGAAATGTTGGTTGGCACATGAGCACAAGTGACAGCCAAGTGGGGGAATGTACTTGCATGGTCTGTTAATTCTCTTATTCCAGTAAGTTCTTAGCTTTCAGAAGCAAGAAAATGGTTCTTCTTTCCCCAACCCCCACCCTCACACTTTTTTCTTTTTTTTGATGCACCACAAGGAAAGTATAGACAGTTGCACTACATACATCAAACCGTTTGTGACACTTGTAGAAATCAATACACTTTTAGATTAGAAAGAGTAACTTTTTAAACTTTTGATTTGTTTTCCTTTAGTTTAAAAAGTTGTATGATGCTTAATTGACTAGCAAATTTTTGTATGTGGTAGCATAGCTTTAATTTATCCTATTGCAATGCTATTCTGAATTTTCTTTTGGCTTAGAAAAAAACAAACCTTGTTGCTTAGAAGCCATGAACTGTTTTATTTTACTTGTCAAAATTTCCTTGTTTTTAAAAATGATCATTTGGGTTCACTCAGGAAGTGCATGTCAGGAAACTTGTATTATAAGTTTACCAGTTGTGATGTATCAGTAACTGCTGTTACCCCTTTTTCAAAGAAATATAACTGATTTTGAAGTTTTCTAGCTTGTCACATGCCTTGTGACTAATGCCTGGAAATCAAGTCTTGTGTTGTATTTGTTCTAGTCATTTCTATTCAAGCTATATATTGTAGCTAATTTTTATTTGCAATTAATTTATTCAAATTAAGTAAATACTTTTCAAAATAGATACTTAAATTTGTCTCTGTGAGTTCATTTCTGCATAACTGAGAATGGGCAACCAGAAATGAAAACTTGTAGACAAATCCACCCCCACTTCAGAAATGTTTCACTTGAAATAGATGAGTTTGCATTTAATGTAATACTCTAAATCTCTGATTCCCTTGCAAAATCATCTTTTTCATATTAATAAAGGAACTTTGTTTAGTGGTTGAATAATTGAGGACTTTTTCTAAGTTGTCCTGCTAGAGAATTGGCTCTTTGCAAATTGCATACTAGACTGTTTAAATAGTGCCTCAGTGGCCATAAAAGGTTCATAGTCTTCCCAAAGTGCCTGAATTTCCTCCTGGCAACTGGGAAAAATATGGTTCATTTCCTATGAAATTCAGGTTTTGAGAACTCATAATTTATGTCTTTAGGTACTTTTCTATTCAAGCAATTTGAATATTCTTTTATTTTGACAATACCTAATGAAACAGTTTGACTGAGCTATATTGAGGGAATGTCAGTATTCTGGTCAAGGAGAAAAAGTTGTATTATTCTTACTAAATATGTTCTCAAGAAAGATTGTCTTAATGGCTTATTTCTTTTATCAAACCAGTCTTAAAAGCCAAATGTCCTTAAATTTGTACAGGGAATTAAATTTCCCTCTGCCTAACATGTTAGGGTCATGAAGCTAGATATGGTAAGTATCCAGAAGGAGTCATCTATTACCAGATTATCTTCTTGAAGCTTTAATTGCTTACTTCCATCATGTAAAAATCTTCTAGTACATGTAAAACAGAAATAAATAATGCTTAAAAATATGATTACATCTAACATGAGTAGTCCCACTCCACTCTTCCGTCAGGATACCTCAAGAACCATGTGTGATGCATGACCTTCTGCTACATAGACTGGGTGAGGGCATCAGTGAAAATCCATCCATTATTCTTAAATTTATAAGTAAAGATAATCCTAACACTTTGGTCTGTCAGCGTGATGGATCATCTTATGCTACCCCACTTTAGAGACTATTGGCTAAAAAATTCTGTGATCCATTTTTTGTGTTGTATATGTTCTAAACATTATTCCTATAACAAATGAGATCACCAAAATACTACATAACTGAATTACATTATTCTATCAACAACTTTCACTGCTAGAATTACTCTTACATAACTATGGTTTAAGGTCATGTCCTCAAATTTTATCCATGCCTTCTCACAGCAGTTACTTGAGTATCCACTAAGCGCTAAACCCTGAAACATTGGGTAATGTAGCAGAAAAAAATCCCTGCCTTTGTAGAGTGTGTATTGTTT